AGGTATTTGCCATTATATAATCTTTTTAATAAGTCTCTTTTATTTTTTAACTTTCTTATAATGGTGAGATTGTCATTTACAAAAATTGATTGTTATTATACCCTTTTTGTTTTTGTCTGGGGATGCAATTTGACTTTGTTGTCTATTTAAAAGCTTCATTAGTAAATCACGGAAATAAACCAAAACAATCGCATCAACAAGCAAAACATAAAGTAGGGAAATTCTCACTTTGATTATATATCTAATCATGAATAGTTTACCTTTGCATCTCCTAGACGAAATCCTTTTCAGATTGGATCTCAAATCTCTAGCAATGATCCGATGCACGAATAGATCTATCAACTCGCATATATCTGACTACCCAAATTTTGAAAAGGAATACTCTTCTCAGTTTGCATCCTACTTGTTTTACATTTCCTGCAAAAACAGAGGTGATGACTATTACCTCAATTGCCTCTACTGCAAGATTTTCAAATCTTCATGTCGTTATAACTCACCCGGAATGGAAACACATACGTATGGGAAGAGATGTTACATTCTCGGCTCCTGCTCTGGCCTTCTCCTATTATACATCGGTGGCCTCTTCGTCGCAAATCCTCTCACAAAGCGGTTTCGATTACTAGATCACTCTGGATCAAAGCTTCTCCCTGAGATAGTTGATAGTCCCATTGTTCGTACGGAGAGAGCAATGTGTGTTGGTTTTGCGGTAAATCGAACCACCAAAAGATTCAAGATCGTATGCATATTCGAGATGCAAACCGTGTATGGATTCGAGATCAGCGATGGAGATTCTTGGAGGTTGTCGGAAACGACCATCACGAGGAGGACTAGTTCAAAATGTGATCTCACAATGGGAATGAAACCTGTTTACTTGGACGACAATCTTCACTGGTTGAGAAACGATGGGACCATCATAGCTTTCAATCCCGAGACAGAGCAAGCACGCTTTATTCCTTCCATATTCCACCGGGAACCTAAGTTGAAACTGCTTTTTACGTCCGATGATAAGATCAATCGCTTGACCTTAATATCGGGGACAAAAGAAGAAATCTCTGTTTACACACTACTCGGGAATCTCAACTGGGGACTCGCCAGGCGGATCAAGAACGTACCTATGGAGGAAAGTACGCTTGAGTTTTGGCACATAGTTGCGTACAATGGCGAGCGTCTTGTGGTGAGGGAGAAGAGAATGGAAATTGATCGGCTACAAGGTGTGGTTCATGTGTACCATATGGGAGCTAATAGTTGGACAGTTTTGGGGTCAACAAATCATTTTGTCGAAACCGACATATACTTCTATAAGTTTACGCCCTCTTTGTTCTTCATCGAGGAGGATGAGAAAAAGAAGGTGATTGTAGCTCCTAATGACAAAAACATCTCCTATCTAACTAAGATTATGTCACTCATTCATAATTGTGAGGATTAGAACCAGAAAGATCGAACCTTTTCACACTTAGACTC